ATGACGACATCAGCTAGTTGGTGATATCATGCAGTCAATCTAATACTTCTAGACATTTTCCCTTTGGGTGCTTTGTAAAGGAGAGGTCTACACGAATAAATCGCAGTCTGAATATGAGGAAATTTAATTTCCTTCTTCATATTCATACATTTCTAACTCTTCTGGAAAAGATTACTGAATTTCTAGCACTATTTCTGAACTCAGTGGCAAAATAATATGTTTGTAACAGTTTTAGTCTTTGCTTTTAGAGAAACATCTATGAACATTCCAAACCTCAAATTTCCAGCTCTACTCGAAGTGGATATAGTGTTCTATTTCTTTTTCCACATATCCGCAGCAAAATTTGGAAAACTGCGAATGAACCATTTGATGTTATACCTATAGAAAAAGATACTCTTAAACACAGATTTTTACGTTACAAAGATGTGAGATACATATCAATAATTATTATTACATTTGAAAAAAAAAAATACACCAAAACTGATCTCACCTTAGCAAATTCACTTAATCTTAATTACCATTATCATAATGATATTTTTAATATAATTATAACTTTATTAGTAGTATGTTCAATAGAATATGTAGTTGATAATACATACCCCCTAAATTTTAAGGAATAATAATCTTACATGTTTTCTTGATGTGTGATAATAAAAGAAACTAATAAGCACGTTTTCGAAAACGTATTGCAGTGTTTATTAAATATGTAAGGATATGATTATACTAAAACTGTTTAATCTGTGTAATGAATAAGGCCGTTTATATGTGTTTGTATTTTGAACTGATTTAATAAAGAAAAAAAAGTTTAATTTCATCTGTTTAGATTTATTGTCAATGACTAAAAAGTTTCTACCCCAATTTTCACCCTCTAGACAAAATTTGTTGTATTCTTGACTTTCTGTTTGCTTGTGAAGACAAAGATACAAACAATGTATAAACAAATATGTAGGTCAAATTATGAACTTCCTTTCTTTTCCGAAAAGTCGATTCAAAAGAGAAACTTCTGAAGATAATACAGTTTGGAAACAAATGGTCTGGCCAACATCATTCCCCTACTGGGATCATCAGAGACTCCATATGCATTTAAGCTTATCACAATCTTGTGAAATAATTTATTTGATGATTATAACTAAAACTAGCTTTAATAACCTCCAGATGATACCAATTTGATTGGCGAAATGAAAAATAATTTAAAAAACAGTTAATTTTATTATTTTGATTACAAATCAAAGCTTCTCTGTATACGACAGTAACTATAAGATCTTCCAATTGTATCCGAACTGCATTTTGTTCAAGCAATTCTGACATAGTTACATATTTATCAGTGCTTTGCACCAATAACAGTTATACCTAATATAGGGCTAATAAGTGTAATATGGTGAACATACAAATACCACAGCTGGAATTGCAATGTACGAGTAGAAATCTTCCTTATTCGTAAAAAATATTTTAAAAACTTTATTACGCAGAGAATGACCATCATTTTAGTGTGAATTTACGGGCAATGTACAATAGCAGCGCCATACTCGGTGCATTTCTTGTGACAAAGGAAATAAAATCGAACGATTTCGCGGGTTGCCTGAGAAAGACACACTTTAATTTCGGTAGGTCTAGAAAGAGACGTGCTATTTTACCACATACTCTAAGATGAAAATCTTGTCATATAAGTGCTTGTGGGAACTTGCTGGGAATGTTAACACATGTGTTCACCCATTCAAGTATGCCAGTACCCTATCAACTTAAAACTTCACATGCTTTACAAGCGTTTAGTTACAGTTCTCTATAGTTAAGTATTGCCGACATTTTTGACTTATCTTTACCGAGTGGACAAATCGTCCTTTGTTCAGCATGGGTCGGCTTGCTAACCGAAAAACTAATTTAGGGCTGTGGGGATTATGGATATATTACTACTATTCTAAATAGAATTTTTCCCTATTTATTCAGAAGAGCTATAGGAATAGAACAAGGAAATAAAACTTTAACTAGTAACTATTAATAAGAATAATGACTGCATTCGGTCGTTTTCATCCGCAAATATTTATCTGGATAAATGTATTTTTTAATTCATAAGTGCTGTATTTATTGCTATCAGAAAATAATTTTTTTTTAGGTACAAAGCATTATTAATGAAACGAACCGTCATTTGGTTTAGTATATTTTAAAAATAATCTGAAAGTTAGATTTATAAAAAATAAGTTAATATCTACTAAAATTTTTCTTTTAGCATCTTGTAATTTTAGAAATTCGTCTGCTTATAGTCTATTACGATCTTAAATTGTAAGATCTAATACCTGAAATGGTCCCAAAGGTCATACAGATCCTTCTTGCTATATGAAAAATAAATAAATAGCCAAGAAAACTAAAATATAAATAAGATTTATTAATACAATATTAGTTAGGCATAAAAATTTTAAAAAATCTTACAATATAATAAATATTAAATGATGTCTAGGGTTTAAAAGCACTAAAATTATTTAAGTATTAATTAATAAATTTACAGATGTAAGAGAAATTAACGAAAAAATTAACTGATAGCAAAAATTTGTACAAAATTTAAAATGAGAACTAAGCAAAAAAATATAAACCATATGTCCCAAATTCGATGCTCACCATTGGGATCTCGGAAATTGGTAAGAGTTACAAAGTCGCTTAAATAGGATAAGTTTTAGGAAATTTTATGCTGATTTCAAATACATTAAGAAATCATGGCTAACTGAAACTATTTTTGGAATTTACCAAAAAAAAAATCGCAAATTTGTGTTTTCTATTATTGGCTGTAATCAAGTAATCATTTTCTATGCAACACATAGAACAGTTTCTGGAAGAATTGTAAGCAATTTGTTAAATTACGGGAGTTTTGATAATAAAAGATAACTGTACAGAAGGCATTAAAACAAAGGAAATATCATCCGTACAAACCTTCCATTGTCCAAGCTTTAAACAATAACGATTTTGGTAGAAGACTTGAATTTTGTCGTTGTTTTAATCAGAAATGCGAAGGACAACCTGATTTTCAATCGAGAGTTATATGGTCCGGTGAAAGTCGTTTTATAAATTGTGGAGTCTTTAACAAGCACAATAATTATCACCATTGGGCCACAAAACATCCGCATGTAACTACGCAAAGAAGATTCCAAACTAGGTTTGGAGTCAATGTTTGGTGCGACATGATAGGTATTACCTTTTCTCTACCTAATCTACTCCTATGATCTGCCTATCACCTTTTCTTTAATTATTATTTTGATTTCATCATCTAATTGGTCCATTCATTTTTCACAACAATTTAACGGGAACAGTCTATCGTGAACTTCTGGAAAATCAAGTTTTACCCGAGATAAGACAGCTTTTTACAGAACATGAAATAAACGAATCGTGGTTCCACCAAGTGTCCTGCACATAATACTAATAATGTTAGGCGGATATTGCAGGAAAATTTTTGGTACCCGCATAATTTCAAATAGAGGACTAGTATTGTGGCCTTCCGCTTGCCTGATATAACCCCTCCTAATTTTTATTTGTGAGGCGCGGTGAAAAATGAAGTGTATGATTTTGAAAGCCCGGAAACTATCGATATTTTGGAAGACAGATTTAGGGACGTTTTCGGCACAATAAATGCCAACACTCTCAGAAGAGTCATCAGCTCAGTTCCGCGAAGATGCCAAAAATATTCAGCTAAATGGAGGTCATATTGAAGAGTTTTATTAAATATTTTTTAGGATGTAATAACTCGAAAAATAAACGGTCTGCAAATTGCGTGTTTCGTAGAAGTTTTTGAAAAAAGTTGATAGTACGGCTGAAAAGAACATCTATTTAGCATACTGTAGAAAAATCACAGTGGTACACTGTGTTGTTTTTTGAGAAAAAAAATTATAGTATCGAATTCTACATTTAACTTTTACATACTTGTACAGTGCGTGTCTAGTGCGTACTAAAAAACAACTGGTAACCCGGATGAGAAAAACAGCTTCTTTTCAGTATAATGTAGAAAAATCAGAGTAGCACACTATGCTGTTTTCGAGGAAAAAAATTATAAACTAGAATTTCCCATTCATCTATATATACACATATTTGTATACTGCGTGCCTCCTACAGGTTTTTGCAAAAAAAAAACTGAAAACAGTGGTGAAAAGAATACTTTCTTTTTTTATTGTAATATTCAGTGAAAGAAAACTGGACCAGAGTCCAAGACCGGGAGCTACTACTGCCAAATGGTATAAGTATAAAATGAACAATGAAATACATACCCCTTGGTATAATGTATTATTCGTAATGACTGAAGTGAGCCATCACATTAACATGCATGGTTACAACTAATATGCATTCGTGGGTGTTAAATTATTATTTTGAACACTCGTACGCATTTTTTGCAAAGAAACCTCTAAACTCAGCATTATCGACTACGTTCCAAGACAGACTCGTGCACGAGCATAACACACAAAACATAAAAAATCTTCTTTTGTAACTGTACCAGCAATATTGTGATGATAGATAGCCGAATTTAAATATCTTTCACAATCACGGCGTGTATGAAATACGTAACGTCAATTGCACGGAGTACACACAATCTGTGATCCTAACATTATAACGTCATTACAGTTTTCAATCATGTTTTGTAGTGACTGAGCCATTGCGAAGAGCGTTTTATGCGATAACCAAACCAAACATCACTCCACGAAAATAAATGTACGCTTTCGTGTTGCTAAGTTAATTTGGGAATAAGTGCCAATTTACGTATAATTTTATATACGTATATTCAGGTTTACTGCAACTTTCTGCCTCGGATACTGGTTATACTGGTTGCATATATTACAGGTATATCAATAAACACATCACATGAATTTATATGTGGTGTGTTTATTAAAAAATTAAAATTAAACACCACCAGTAATATAACCCCCTGTATCCCTAAAGGTACCTTCTGTGGGAGAGGACATTTATAGACAATGGACATACACCCAATGTTCGAGCACGTTAGGATTAATTTCTGGTTTAGAAAAACTTAGCTCCTCGACCGGGGATTGATCCTGTGACTACAGAGTGAGAGGCAAATGTACTTACCACTCGACCACGAGGCCACACTATTTATATTTATATTTATTTTTTTTTATAACCACCTGCTCTGGAAAATGGCATTTATTTCCGGCACCTGGTAATAATTATCAGCCGTATGAAAGTCGTATATTATAATTTTTTACACTGTTATGATTGCGAAATTAAAAATACACATTGCCTTGCTTTAGCTGTTGAGGGCGTGCTTTCGAGGAGTAGTAACTCGCGTCGACAAATTCTTTGTCTCGTGAAATTGTATGTCTAAGAAATCAACACTAATGGTTGAGTGTAGCAGTCTTATGGACTGAACTCCGCCTAATAAAGACACTATTATTATTAATATTATTATTATTATAGAATAAACTGTTAATCTTTAAAAAGCTGTTTTAGTATTTATAAACATAATCTCATTTCAATTAATTCATTTCAGTTCATAACTTTACAGTCCCCTAAATATTGTGTCGTTCTGTCCATTATTCCTAGCTATAAGCAGACGCGAAACTAAAGCGTTTAGTTACAGTCCATACGATAATCCGTTTTTGTTTCTGGCAGTAAATGCTAAATGATATGAGACATATGTCGGATTAACTATACCAAACTTCTACTTATTTAATTTTTTGTCGTCATAAGAGTGAAGTAACTTTAAACGCTTTCTTGTGGTTAATTCTGTGTAATAAATTATCTGGATTTATCTTCTTGATAACATAATAAAACCTTTAGGCCTGTTAATATTAAACAACATTTTCAATTTATTATTTATACATGTATCCAGCTAGCATTTGGGAGGTGTCGGACATTTTACGAAAGGATACCATTATACAAAGTAAAAGACACTTGAAAGTACAAATAAATTATATGACCGTTTGGAATTTTTACAAAAATGACAAATGCTTTAACGTCTCCCTTCTCTTGGATACCAACCAACTTCATGCTATAAATTTATGTCGCTTTTATAGTTTCATGGGTCGTTTGAAACCGTGTCCGAATTTCGAAAAATTTAACAACAAATGTCTCATAAACTTATTAGATTTATTTGTAGATTAATTTTAAAATTATTCAAGGTGGGTCCTTAATCCACTGTGACATTTTATAATGTATAGGTACTTGTACATGTATGTGTACGTACCGACACGACGTATTCATGTATTAAATCAGTAAACTGTATTCGATAATATTGAGTGTTTTGAGAACCTACTCCCAAGTCACCGAAGTAACACCGTAAAATTTTAGAACTTTGTGTTAGGTAACTCTATAACTAACACGACGAGGCTCTACAATTTAATACGTAGTCGAATTATATCTAGGGCATCGAAAGTTATATATCTCACCTCAGTCGAAAACAAATTACAAATACATTTTTAATTTGCCCCACGGCAGGATAATCGGTACTAAATAAGTAAGAAAAAGCCCCTTGTCCATCGTGTCTATACCATATCTGAATCATTAACTGTCTACACACAACAAAATAGAGAAGAAACTCTTTTTGTCATATGACAAAATTTTCTTTATCGTATGACGAAATTAAGAAATTAATTTAATTTTGGAATAATTCCATTAATGTGTGTAAATCTCATTTATTTGATTTTATATCTCTTTACATACTTTTTAAATTGATTCTTACTAAAGTGGATTCAGTCCAAAAATTAAGGCCAATGTTGGTAGCCAATGGCGAATATAAAATTTGGTTGGCAAAGGTAGATAAGGTTAAGAACAAAATTCGCTTGCAAGACCACACCAAAAATGCAAGAAAAAACTATAGTTTTTTTTAAGTCGGTTACAATTCGCAACTTCTTCCAGTCATCGTTGATATCTCACATGCATATGTTTATTGTTAATAAAACTAAAACATCAATTGCTTCAACGATAAAGAGTAGTTCACTTTTAGGTTACCATCTGGTTCGAACTCTATTCTACACAAGTTTGAATAAAAACTGGAAAGTTAAGCCTCGTCCTTGTTGGTGACATCAGCAGCATTTAAAAGCTGATGTGATACAGTGGAGATCATTTACTATTATAAAAATTTTGTCTCTGGAGTGTAAGCTGTTTTTCATTCCCCTTCATATTTTTTAAGAAACGAAATTTTTTAAATAATAACTACAGCAAATATTGGTCAACTACTGAATGCTAAGTAATAAATTTTCCAGATGCAGATACAACTAGTTTCTTTTGATGTACTGCTTATGAACTAGTAGCCAATAGTTTGAAAACTCTGGAATGCGTTGACACATATTGGTTTTGCTCCTCTTCATCAAAGCCTACCAAACTCAATGGCCTACAAGATTACAACTGATTAGTTGGCGTTGGGTTTTTTTATCAGTATGGGAGAAACAATTTTTACTGGTTACATTTACTATTGGATTGTGGTAGATATTCTAGCACTTTTAACGAGCCCGAAGCATGCAAATAATTCTTCTGCTCTGTCCATGAGGTGTCGGTCGCCTAAATTGTCGTCTAAAAATTCGACAGACTGTTGAACATCTGATCTGATGATTTTGTGATATGTTATTAACACCAATTTCTTCAGTTACTTGCACTACTTTTGATCATTATCATCATGTTTTATACAAGTAAAAAACTGACCTTCGAATCGACAGTAAAGGTTTCCTCAACTTTAACCAGTAAATCTATTAAAGATATCTACGATACAAAGTCTATTTCTTAAGTGGGCATATGGCCTTAGTTTATAACCTCACAAATTACTGTTTTTATAATAACGAGTAATTGTAAAAAAGTTGAACTATTAAAATTTTAAACATTTTCTATTCTCACATTCGCTTTTTTAGTGAATGAATTAATAAGTTAATTTTACACTTTACTACAATTAACATTAAGGCAAAAAAATTTTTTCTATTGCGCGAATCTTACCTGATTGTAACTTTAACATTAATATACCTACATTAATAAAATTCCTTTACAAATAACAAAAAGTAGTACCAGTAACAATAATATAAATTAAAACTATAGAATAAATTCGAAAAACTTTAGCAAATACTATAAACAATAGGAGTTATTTAACATAGTATATTTTAACGAGAACAGTACGTTTTACTAATTTAATTAGCACAAACGGCAACTGTCAACTTTAATTAATAAACTATAATTTTATTGCAAAGCACGATCAAAGTAAGTCTTGTTTCTTAGGTAAATGCAAACAAAACAAAGTCTTGTACTTAGTAATTGCAAGTGCAAAGCAAAGGCGGTGTTAAATTTGTAGATTTCACTATAGTATTCATGTATATTTAATTCTCAGTGGCGGAGGTTCCTTAAGTGGTTTCTATACAACTCGACGAAAATTGGGGTGGTGAAACTTTTTGATAGCTCTCACTATATTCATACAAACTTTAAATTTATAATGGTTCTACCTAGGTAACAAGGTGTAAGTGTGGTTTTCAAAAATAAACTTTTTTAATTAATGGATAAAGAGAAACATAGACAATGAAATTAATTAATCAGGTAATTATTACATACGAATTTAAGGTGTCTTAAAAATAAATCAGATTATCTAAGGTATTAATACGGAATTACATTTGAGTTCAAATGTCAAGTGAATGACCAATTATTGTCTCTTTCTTTTATCAAAACTATTTTTTTAAACAGCCTGTAGCCTGGATTGTCCACTGCTGGACATAGGCCTCTCTTAACGTTTTCCATATCACGCGATTTTATGCAACAAGCATTCGGTTTGTTGATATGTGTTTTAATATCATTTGTCCATCAGAATGAAGGATGTCTTGTTCTTCGCAATGCGTTGTCACACCATTATCCGTCTGGTCCAGTTATTATTCGGTAAACTCATTACATGCTAAGCCCAGTTCCACTTGAGACGAGTTATCTTGTCAACAATAACAAACACACAGATGCAGACAGACTCTGCTGAAAAGGTTGTCAAACCTTAATAAACAAAAATGCTTGTATTAGTTATGTTCTATAAGAATAGAGAATCCCATTATTAAATAAACATGAATATAAATAAATAAACATCACCACAGTTGAAAGTGTATCAGAAGTATATTGGTCAAACAAAACGATCAAGTCGAATTAAATTTAACAAGCATAAGGCGGATTTGAATATTGAAGAACAGACAGAATGATGTATATGTGCTTCATTCTTTTCAAATTAACAAAAATTTAGGTAATACTTAATAAGATAATATGATGGTAAGAGCCATTGGCTTCATTAAATAAGATATTACAAAAAATGCATTAGAACAATAACTATTATTCGCCGTTTATTTATACAGATTTATTTGTTAATGTTCTATATAATGCTTAAATTTAAAATGTTGTCAAGATGAAAACTCGAAAAAGTTGTTATTTAGACAATTAAATTAAGCTCCAACTAACTAAAAATTCAGGGGCCTTTATTTCACCTTTCAGTATTTATTACGGATAACTCTAGTTTTAATTTTCCTTTTAGTGAGGAACTAGTTTATTATCTTATATCTGATTTCAAATAATTCTCACACACAGTGAGGATTCAGTATTTTTCCTTTACTATAAAAAAATAATCAGCATTCGTTTGTTCCATTTTTACTGCCGATTCAACATCCAATAAGCAAATTATTAAGGTCCTATCTGTACTGTTATCAGCCTTAATATCACTGTAAAATAGATTAACATTTAATTTTTATGGCTCATATACTTAAAATGATAATGAACATGTTGGTTTACTTACGAAAGAGTGAAATGTTGTTCTGCCGTAGCGTTTTTTATCGTTTTCTTTTTATTACTTAAATTGTTCAGGCATATAAAATAAGCTGAACTAGAGTTACCAACAACTGATAATGTTAAACAGCCAAAACATATACATAATGTTATAAAAGTTTATCTGCCAAAAATAGAAAAACTGTACTAATAGATGATGATTAAAAAGTCGAAAATACGGGATTATCGCTCTTAACCTCCTCAGACCAGGCGTATACTGTAGTGTACGTCAGTTTCAGATAAGTTTGTGACTTGGTATTATCAAAATTTGCTATAATGTACAAATCTTAACAATGATTGTCATATAATTTAATATTGTCAG